TCAGGATTACTGAGTTCCTGGACTCTGTCCTTCGCACGACATTGTATTGAACGTAGTGTGCTTTAGAAAGTTTTTTTTACAAAACATAACTCTCAGTAATAACAAATTACATTTCTTCCTTGAATGCAGAATGATGTAATAGTTGGCGTGAAATTTGATAATAGAACCTCCTACAAGATATTAATTTTATGTCCTCTAACCTTTTGGTACATACTCGTAAGAGTGTGATGAAACCTTTGAAATAAATTTATATGATACATTGCACTGAAATACACAGAGCGTTGTCTTATGAGGTATCGAGTTGAGGAATTCCGAAATTTTGTTATAGAGCCGACCCCTGAAATCAAACATAATTTTACGTTACCACCCACGATACACGGTGAGAACAAGAAGCTAAATAGTTATACAATATCTCTATACTTACAACAAGCTATAAAATATCCTTTTACAGTCACGAAATTATTCGCGAATTATTCTAAAGGTATCTATATTGTCACGTGTTAGAGTGTGACTATAGATGGGGTGTGGATTGGTAATTGGGTTTATTGTGCAGTTATACACACAATCCGTAGCTACCAGTAACTATAGCGCTATCACTGACTCAAACTGGCTGAAGTTCACTAGAACACGCCCTAAGGCTTTTCAGTCTGTTGTGTCTTCACTAGTCGTTGCTCGATAACGGCTTCCAACGGCGGACGTTTCCCTTACTCTGGGTTCCCGAACTATCCCCATGCCTCAGCTACCAGTTCTAACAGCAACAACTCACAAGGACTGAATTGCAGTTCAGCGATCACCTGGCAACGGCCGCTGTTTACAGAATCACCACTTAGCAACGGGTGTACAGTTACAATGTTAAATTTACTGACTTTTCGGGGATTCTCCGAGTAGTTCGTTTCCTTCTCCAGTTCTCATTCCACGAAGTACTGCATATTCAGTAATCACCTTATCACCGGTGCTAAACAGTCTCGAGCCGGACAGCGTCATTAAATAACAAACGTAAAGTAACGTAACATAACGTAACTTAAGTGACTTGCCGAAAGTGTAAGTCGATAGAAGCAGAGCTTATATAATTCTTGATAATATGGCGACCTTCTTAAATTGGGTTGCAGTCCCCTGGAATCTGCGACGCACTAACTGAAAGCCAACTAGCAGAGGAAGGTTATTTTCACCCATAGAAATTTGTAACGTTCTCATATTTTGAGTGTAAGAAATTGAGTTAACTTGTGTTACGTACGCCAAAATCATTGGGCTTCACAGCAAGATTTTATTCAGTCTAAAATTCTATTACTTTTAAAAATATATTTCAAATACTAGTGTTCTAATCCTTACAAGATAACACAGGCATATTATACACTGAAGCATTTCCTTTGAAGTGTTTGTCTCCCTCCGACGTTGCCCATCATTGGCCGAAACATGTAAAGACTTTATTTTATTATAAAACATTGCTGCATTTGATGGAATTCAATCCTCATTTTACTTAAACACAGATGTGATTTATAAAAAAAATGTTATTTATTATGGAATCAAACTTCATCATACCTAATGGGCACGTATGTACATCAATCATCTACCGTCTCCACAGACAGAGGTCAGCTGTAATGACAGAGATGCAATGTTTCACAGCATCGCTAACAGGTTGAAATATAGGGTCACATAACATTACTATGATGAATGGGGATTATAACCATTAAATGGATTTATAGTAACTTGATTGACATGTTTCTGACCCGCACATGTAAATGGTAAAAGATAAAAAATGTAACGCTAATTTTAAAAACAAACATCATGACAGCCATAACTTCATAAATCAGGCGACTCCTTTCTATCGGAGCATCAAAGGAATCAGTGGAATTAAACTACAGTGCATGTTTTCCAATGTTGCCATTCAGACTACAGGCACTGCAGATGTATATATGTATATTCACATTTATGAACTCATACATTTAGTCACTTTTGATTACAGCAGAGAGAAAAAAAATCTCTACTGCAGAGCGTCGAAACCTACCCTGGGGCTCACCAAGCCTCCTATCAAATGAGTACCGGGGCTCTTTCCGCGAGTGTAAAGCTACCCGGACCTGAACCTGACCTTGCAACATCACTGTTTCCAAGACCAGTAACAGTGGAGTTATGCTATCACTCCCACAACACGTCTTCATGGTGCTGTGTTTAATTAATTAAGCAAAGAGACAAATTTACTTTTTTCTTTCCTTTGGCGCTACAGTCCCAATTTGGGCCTTGATGTCATCCTCTATAGATATTTCAGCCAATTTTTATAAAAAACATTTCCCTACTGAAACTCTGCACGAGTGATGGCCAATAAATGGACAGACACCGAGAAGGTGACATTCACGTCAATAATAATGGAGCAATTGCTTAGTGAACTCCCGCCCTGGACATTATTGTCTAAGAATCAACTGTTCGAATAAGTACGAATTAAATAATGGCAGAACTATAGACTACAATTGATTGCTTGGATGTAATTCGTATCTGTCACTGGGAACGTTTTCAAGTGCATACATCCTGCTGCGGTGGAGTTGATGTGACCCCTCCTTGGCTGGACTCGATAGATGGTGCGCATCCTGAAGGTAGTTACACAGTACGCAATCCTGGTTCGTAGGATGGAGTGTCACATTCCGAGCACGTCGCCTGGGTTCAGTGAAGGCAACCACTTTTACCACCGACACTTGAGTGCTCTGTTACCGACTCTGTGGTCACAATTCACTCCCTTCTCTGTGGTCCCTCTGCATAGCATGAATTACCCGTGGCACTCTGCTAAGTTCTAATTGTTAAGATGCGAATAACTTGTTCGGTTAATAACAGTTTGTCTGCTTGGAAGAAACAGAGCTACATGTTCCCGACGTTGTCAGCTCTTCCGCTTCAATTTGACGTAGATCCGCCATTCACCCTCTGTCATTCGGCACAATTACTGCATAAGCCCGAATATAAGAAGAACCGAAATAGAAGGTGACCCCTATTTTTCCGATGAGAATATCCTATACTTTAATTTTAAATAGGATATGTGTTTTAGGTTCGATGGCTGTCAGGAAACAAAAGTAGAAACTGTACTGATGAGAAATAAATTCAGAATATAATTATTTAAATATAATTATGGTATCTCAGTCAATAGAGAGATTGGCTACGGGCTGGAAATCCTGGGTTCAATTCACGGCAGGGTTAAGAAATTTTTCTTTTCTCCACAGCGTTCAGACTGACCCTGGGGTTCACCCAGCTTCTTATCCAATAGTAACCGGGGACTTTTTCCCCAAGGGGCGTGAATCTGACCATTTATCATCTTCAAGTTCCGAGGATAATGGTTTATACTTCATTTCTTACAATGTCCTTTTCTATTTTTTGTGTATGCCCTTCATTCAGTAGCACAGTGACATAACGGTTCCTAAAATCAAATTAACCACAAGAAGTTATAGGAAGAACTACTCGCTTGCTATATCCTTTGGAAATGGGCCGCACAGAAAAATAAACTATTTAGGGGAGACACAGATACACAGAGAAGTTAATCTCTTAAACCTCCTAATCAAAATTAGGAGGGGATACGCAGACAGTAAGATGATCTCACAAGTCTCATAAGTCTCTCTCGTAAGCCAAAAAGAATTAGAGGGAGGTTAAACAGACAGATGGACAGAAAGCCAGGATGATCTTATAAATCCCTTTCTACTTTTTCGAAATAAGGAAGCAGGCTAAAAATGACTGCACTCTATATAATAAATTTTCTAGATTTAATCTGGAACAAAAAACCATCCAGCCTTAAAAGTTTAATATAAATAATTTAATATTTACATTACTTAACAGGTTTCAGCACTTTGAATCCATCTTCAGAGGTCCGATATTAAGAGGAAATTACTCTACAGTTGCTATAGATCTCTGTTTAATCATAGGTTCTAGAGTCATAAATTTTAAACTAGGTTACAATTGAAGTTCATAACTTGTACTCTTCTCCAAGTATAATAGAATGATCAAGTAGAGAAGGATGAGATAGCAGGGCATGTAGCAGGAATAGGGTAGAAGAGGAATGAATATAAGATATCGGTGGGAAAGCCAGATGGAAAGAGACCAATGGGAAGATTAAGGCGTAGGTGGATGGACAATATTAAAATGGATCTTAGAGGAATAGGCTGGGCTAATATGGATTAGATTGATCTGGTTCAGGATATGACTAGTGGAGGGCTCTTGTGAACACGGAAATGAACCTTCGGTTTCCATAAAATGCTGGGAACTTCTTGAGTAGCTGCAGAATTGGCGGCTTCTAAAGAAGGGCCCAGCTCCGTGAGTGGGTTACAATTGAAGAGTTACATTTCTGGAATGCAACCCCGTGTAGTTCATTAAAAGTCAACGACGTTTTGAAGAAATATGTCTCCTTAAGTGCCTAAGAATAAGCAAAGCAAGAAATCAGCTTGGAAGAAAAACAAATTCTACATAGGTTACAACTGGTTTTATTTAAACGTTATTTAGACGTCAATTAAAGTGTAACAGCTATAAAGCCTCATGTTAGAACTTTCTGCATTCTTCAGGCTAAGGTCCGATATGGTTTGCAACACCATTAGTCCGAAGTAGCATGTACAAAATTTGAGGTTGTTTCCGCAATGAAGACATATTATTATCTTCTGGTTAATTATACAGTATAGTCTGGTACGTGGTTACCAATCACCTCTTCGGAGGAAGAATTCTGCCCTGTAGATGAAGATAGAAGCCCCTCCAGACACAGTGTCATAACTTAGTATTATACAGCAATATAAAGTAGCCCCTACCCTTGAAGTTGTACCCGGCGCAGTTATCGAACCTAACTGTTGAAACAAAATTACTGGATATTAATGGTCTCTATTAGTAAGGAATAATTAGAGAGGTACTGGCACATTGGCGTCTAATTAATATCGACGTCAAAACCGAGAGTCCCTTTTCCTTTTCTTTTCTTGAGGATGGAAGTTATTAAAAGAATATAAAGAAAGGCTTATGGAGAAAATATGACAATCAGTTTGCGTCCCTACCTTTGTTATCTGGGAACAAAGAAACTTGGTCTATAACTGCAGCTTGGGCCGGCAGCGAAGTAAGTGGGTGTCTGTCTGGCTAGTAGAGCCTGCAAGAAAGAAATGAATGAACACATAAGTAAGAATATCGAACATGTATTCTCAATTTAAATATACGTAAGTAAAATTTGTACAAAAAATGACTGAACTTAAAGTGTATATTTCCTCTTGTAGAGGTTGACATTCCATGGAACAGAGACGTTGAGGAACTGATGGCCAAGAAAATATCCGAATTTCTTGGAACGCAACAGTTTAATATCATTTTCACTAGAATACACAAATCGACTGCATACTGAGCAAAATGGATCCAGCTTACACCATGAGAACACATGTATTTAATATACATTCTAATGTTATACTACCATCTTCACTTAGTTCTGCGAGGTGATGTCTTTTCTCTAGCTCTTGTGCTCATTTCCGGTGCTGAGGTCGTACCAAAGAACCCATCAAAAGGTATGGATGATGTTTGTGATATTCCGTAGTATGCCTCTGCCGCAAGAGGTTGTTACCTCCGCCCTGTCTTCAATCAAGGGGACCGTCCTCTGACTGCCTGTTTAACAGTCTATTCGCAGCTGTTCCCTGTAGGCCTGCCTGGAGACCCGTCTTCTGTCCACAGTCTGATGACGCGCCTCCGCATGATGACAAGGGACTCACTAACCGTGAATGAGAGAACAGTTGATACAAAACTAGACATTTTAATGGCAGGATCTGTGGCCAATCTTTGTTATCCGATTTTTATTCGTATGAAACGTAGAAGTATTAGATTAATTGAATCTTGAATAATGCCGTTTTCTTGGATGTGTAGATCTTGTTTGAACTGGCGTTTCGGAGGAACGTATCGCCTCCATCTTCAGGGTAGAAATATTCACGAGCAATTAATACTAAGAATTTCCTCTGTAAAATTAATTCCATTGATAATTAGGTTCTTTAATAACTCCGTTTCAACTACAGGATGTTGCGTAATTTTGTTTTGGAAAAGTAGGTGATCGTGATGTTGAGTAAATAAGGATCTGAAAGGAGCCGGTCATGTCTTTTTGAGAGAACATTACCAGCATTCGCCGGGACGTACTGAGGATAACTATGGAAACCCTCAATCAAGAGGCTCTGCAATACATCAAATATTCGAATAGATCACCTCCCGAGTAAAAGTCTAGGGCGCAACTTTTAAAAATAAAGCTAATTTCTTCAAAATAGAATTTAAAATATTGTATGATATTTTGCATACAAATTGAACGTGTCGCTTTATTGAATGATTATTTTTACACGAATTTCGGGGGAAAACTGATTAAAGTTCGGGGTTCTGTTCGTGCCTGTGAGATACTAAGAAAGCATCAATATTCGCATTATCAAATACAGACGTCTATAACAGACACGCGTTACATGTTGTCACTTGTCTGAAATATATTTAATATAAATATTGTTTGGGTCTTAAATTGCCTTTCGTCTTCAGATAAGCGTTTATCAAAATTCTAATAGCTCTTTTAAACATTCTTTATACAAAATCAATTGTGGATTTTTCAGTCCTGTCTTTTGTAGTCATGATTCAATAAACATGAGACTTCGAAAAGTGTTAACACAAACACCTTTCAGAATTTTACATACGTAGGAAATCAAGTCAACGGAGATAAATTTGTGGAACGAATTCGGGGGCTTTGAAATAAACATTTTATCAATAAAGCAGTGCAGATTAGAACATTAATTGTTTCTCTTGTTGCAGTACAATTACGAACTTTAAGAAGACAACATTGGAAAATAACATTGCTATCCCCAACCTTAAAGAAAGGAGGAAGTTAGACAAAATTTATGACGAGGTCCTCAGGTGTTTGCAGACATGCTGGCACTATAAGGTATTATACCTTCAATACGTAGTTTCTTTCATTAATAAATATCCCAGAAATATGCGATATAAATTGTTTGTACAGAAGTAGCATGTTCTTTTTTCTAAACAATCCACGCTATTTATTTATNAATATACTAATAATATAAATACTAACAGTTATACTGTATTTAAAATATGTTTGGGTAGAACATTCCTGGCTCCGAATACGTCAACCTCCCTGCAGACAACATTAGCAGCTGCTGCGCATCTAGAATAATAATACTGTAACGAATAAATTCTTCCCCTAGCTTAGCTGTTGTTTTAGGCCAACTAATATTGGATTACTTGATATATTTTGCAAATAGACATTAAAATAGCTTTAACACTGCACAAGATCATTGATAACTTCGTTTCTTCTGTTCCTGTTGCTCCCACTTGGATCATAGGGCACCTGTGAAGCGCTTCGTTCACCTCAGTTTCTTAATCTTAGACAGTTGGTAGGACTCTTTGAAAGGGGGATCAACCCGTCGCAAGGCCGCCTCCTAGCACAAACACAGAATAAACACAGACAGACAGACATACATGCCTTGAGTGCGATACGAACCCACGATCCCAGTTTTCGAGTGGGTGTAGATATTTTATATTTTAGACAGCGCGAACACTGTGATCGTATGTTCATTGATATACNCCCTAGCTTAGCTGTTGTTTTAGGCCAACTAATATTGGATTACTTGATATATTTTGCAAATAGACATTAAAATAGCTTTAACACTGCACAAGATCATTGATAACTTCGTTTCTTCTGTTCCTGTTGCTCCCACTTGGATGGTAGGGCACCTGTGAAGCGCTTCGTTCACCTCAGTTTCTTAATCTTAGACAGTTGGTAGGACTCTTTGAAAGGGGGATCAATCCGTCGCAAGGCCGCCTCCTAGCACAAACACAGAATACACACAGACAGGCAGACATACATGCCTTGAGTGCGATACGAACCCACGATCCCAGTTTTCGAGTGGGTGTAGATATTTTATATTTTAGACAGCGCGAACACTGTGATCGTATGTTCATTGATATACATGCATCATCATCATCATCATCAGTAATCTGTCAGACGACAGGTCCACAGTCTCTTCCAAAACAGTTTCTCCACTTAATGCGATCTTCTGTTTTTGGAAAGAGACTATCCAGGAAAAGTGATAATGTGGTAGTTTTTCCATTTGCTTTCCACATCGCAGTACAGCAGCCGTTCAAACCACTCTGGTCACGCCTGTTGCTATACGAACTTGAACCATCTCGAGCATCATTTGCTCTGTGCTTCAAGTCGCTGCTGATGACGCTGCTTCCGGCATCAGTTTTTGGTGTCTCTCTTCGTCTGATGCCTACCCTTTGACCTGTCCAGCAAGGGAGGCCCTGCCAGTAGCTACGCTACCGCTGGTATAGCTCTCAGGGTCCTTGGCATACTCAAACCCCCTCACCACGATAAGGTGGAGACACCAAAAAAAAACATGCATATAAAGAAATAATTCTATGGGAAAGAAATTTTGAAAACTTCATACCGTTCCCAAATATCATATAAATTCGTCGTCCTTTATGGAAACCGACTATTAATTATTGTGTTCAGAACAGCCCTCAACTGGAATTTATACTTATCTACCTGAGTCCAATCCACTACCTCACATCCTATTTCGGTAATGAATAGGTACTTGAGTATAATCGCTCATCTGCATCCTGTATTTCTTTTGATTGGTTATAAAACGAGGCCTTCAGTATGGGGGTTATACAGCGTCCTATTGTAAGATGACAAATGAATGATCAAATGATCAAATGGAAAGGATTTGTAATGAAGTTTTCAAAGCTTAATTTCGGCACTTTCCAGGGGTTTTGTCTGGAAGGACTGAGGAAATCCACGAACAACCTTAGTCAGGATAGCCATTATTCTGAACGAGATCTTATCGAGCACCTCCCAAATATGTTGCTGCTACATCAACTTGTTCGGAGCGCCGTGTGTCGTGAAGTTGTTTAGGAAATTCGTGTTTTGCGACTGAAGATCTGTACGCATTTGCCACCTCTCCCTGCGTTCTGTATATTGCACTAATTTCATTTACGTCAATTCTTTCATCATAATAATATTTCTGAATGATTCAATTTATGATGCTCTTCTCTGTTCATTTTTCCGTATTTTACTACCCCTCTCTCAATTCAGAATATTCTCTTCAGAGCCCAGTCCTCAGACTTCCTGGGGCACATGTGTAAGTTAGGTTTACAGATTTCAATGGTTCAGAAACTTTAGGCTTATTAGGAACAAATATATATATATATTTTTTTTTGCAGCTGGCCTTGTAACATGTGGAGAGACAGACTAAATCATTTCAGATTTTAAGTCTCATGGCCGTGATCACGAAGAATTAACATCTTCTGGAACATGAGCCATGTGTATTCTAGAAGTATTTTCTTCTGAAGCGTCGGTAACTTCTGCCAGACTACACGGAATCACACTCAGGAGATACGTATTACTCTTCACAATGTTTAACTAAGAGAATTTATGCCCCATGGATTAAGAATAGAGACATAACATACACGTAACTAAATTTGTCGTGAATGACCTTGAAATATGGAGATTTTTAAGAATCTTATTTTGTGCTAAAATTGCCCGTTACGAAAGCATCTCAGTCGGTTATTTCTGAATTATGCAAGCAATTTATACTGCCACATCAGTTGGTATCTCCTATCTGCTTGAATATCAAGATATTTCTCATTAGTTTCTGTTACACTTCGTGTTACATAAAGTTATTTTTAATTCCCGGCGCCGGTTCTCGCTGGTTCATTGCGTATATTCCAGTATTCATAACTGTATTAACAAGGGCACAAAGTTCTGATGGTGTATATTTGTATAATGGTATTGGGTTAATGGTCTTGTATATATTTCCGTACTGATGCTATATCTTCCAGTTTTCCCTCCCTAACGGCAGTAAAATATTTCTTCCTTCTATATAAACGTCTAAATGCGAGTGCCTTTGGCAACGACCCATTGTGCAAAATAAATTGTGAATTTCAGTGCATTTGTAATATCTACGAGTATTTCAAACAGTTTTCAATGCGTTAAATGTTTACTGAAATATACATAAACATTTCCGGCTAGATGTAATGCAGTGTTTATCGAGTGATTAGCTTTACAACCATGGACCGAAAATAAAGCAAATGGATATCAGAATGAATGAGGCGTGGCAATTCAGAATGATCTGTAAATGTCTTTCCATGTTCGACTGGCATCTAGTAGAAACCGGATTCGAGACAAATTCCTTTACAAAAGTAACAGAAGCAACGAAATGAAAATCAGTTTCATACTGGCTAACACTGAAGAAAGTAATTAACTTTTATAATATTGTGACGTATAGACCCATTGCTAGACAACGACTTGGTAAAAACATTCCCGCGGGAGCCAACGAGAGCAATAATAGGACGTCTATTGCTAGGCAATAGACCAATAAACAAGATTTCTTAAGAAAAGAGAGGCTGTGTTTTCTGCGTGGCCCGTATCGAGGGTAATAAAGGGACAAAGTCGTTTGAATTAACCGGTCCTCTCGTCAGAGAAGGCGCCTCACAATAAGAAGACTGTAAGTACCAAGAGTAGTAAATATCTGGTCATGAGCCCCAGATTGGGCTCGACACCAGTACTTACTGACTGACTGATCGTCAGTCACAATTTGGCTTTGATGTTTGAGTTTGTTGTCGTCAGACATTCAGAGAGTTCAGTTGAAGAATTCATTTGATAGATTTAGTTGTTATCAAGAAATGGTTGAGTAGTGGAAATGGTAGTACAAGGTGATTGAGAAGAAATGGCAAGAGAGGAATCAGATGCTGCAAAGAGGATTTCATCTGATCTGAAGTGACAGTGAAACTTATAAATCCGTTGCCAGGTTACGACTAGAGAAGAGAAAAAGCCCTAGTGCGTGTGCAACGGTGAACTCTAAAGCGTAGATCAGCGATAGCGCTGTAATTGCCTGTAGTTCCTAGTTGCGTATAAGGTGTCAATGAATCCAATCATCCAATCAAAAAACCTCCTTACAGTCAACCACACCCCATACACTTGAGAGTATAAAATCCGTCTGTCTCTTCCTTGCTCTCCCATCCCATTTTGGTGCCCCATATTTCTTTGGTGGTGTCTAGATCATATACGAATTAACGCATAAAATTGTGTGTGCTCGCCACTGTTTTCTCTGTAGTGTGACAGTCCAAACCTGTTAACAATTCTTCATGGACGCTATGGTCTTCTTTAGTCGTTTCGGAAGGGTGACTCGATTATTGGCGAGATCGATTTATTAGCATGTTATGACTTGTTTTTCGCATCTGGACAGAAACAACTGCCTTGTTTTGTTACATGCAGTTTGGGTGGCCGGAAGGGGACAAAGTCACTACGGGAGGCAATTTGCCGAAGATGTTAATTTTGTTTTGTTGACAGGTGTAGCTGTCATAAAGTGTCCTCGGAAGGGTGTAGCTGGACCCTAAACCAAAGAAAATAACCGCTCTCACGTGTGGGGTTCCGAGTTCTGTATCTTGGGAACTGTTTAATTCTCAAGGGTCTTATGCGATTGGCTTGCGCTGATTGCATGATGAATTTGGCTAGTTAAAATCAGCCAATAGGAAATGAATTGTTGTCTGGGAAAGAGGCCGTCGGTTCAAACCCTTCTTCGGGGATGAAGCGACGATCCCGCTGGATAGGAGTCTTCAGAAACTTGGCGTTTTGAATTGATCGGAGGCAGACGTCACTGAACTGCGCTCCTCATATTTCTCTAAATTCATCAGCACTTCACTTTGGATCATTAAAATTTGATAACAGTAAAGAGCCGTATTACTCCGTGCTTGCAAATGAAGTTATAATATTTCGCTTATGAATAAATAGTTTGTGGAAAGTGAAAGTTGTGTTGCTGATTTCGAGCAGTGGACTAACTTCAAATGTGCTGTGTCCGGTTGCCTCAGTTATTGTCGTAACACGATCCTGATAGGAGTCAAAGAGTTCTACCGAAGCCGGTACATAAGTACAAGGATAAACAAGGGGGGCGGTAACAGTAGACAACTATGTCCAATTTGATGCATAAAGCGATATATGTCCGCTGCTGTGCTGTCGCTAGAAAATTGTATACGGCTTAATTCGTGAGAGATTTATTTGATACTTACAAGCCTTCTTACTAAGTGGCGCCACAACGCTATATACTATGCAAGACTTGTAGTGTCGTAGCCTTTCGATTCCAGAAACTAAATGTAATGAAAACTGACTGTGACCGGCGAATATGAAATAACCGACGTATTAAACTATATAACTGCGCAATAAACATTCTTGCTTTCCTCCTCAGAAGTAAAGAAGTCGGTTTATAAGAACCCGTGCAATGTACTCGTAAGTGTGTGAGTGTATTTGTATGTCTGTGTGTCTATCTTTAGAACGACTGCACCGATTTTAATGAAATTCGATACGAACGTTATGTCATTAGTTGTCACCAAAAATCACTATTAGTTAATTTCTTATAATCAGTGATAACAACATAGTTGACGTGCAAATTTATGAGGTGAGAGCCACGTTGGCGTTGTTCACTTTAAGGCCCTGAACTTACTTATGGCACCAGCTTTTGAATAAATATGCAAAATTTGGCGAGTTTATACCTTTGTATAATGTAGATAGCAAAATACCGGCCTTTAGATTTTATATTGTTCTGTGTTTGATGTCGAAATGAGGCATTGGAGCTAGTCATGTGACATTTGGAATAGATGTAAATCATAAATAGAGAGTACTGGTTTTGTGAGAAATGTTCGCAAGTCGACAATTACAAATATGGCGACGACGCGAAGCTTTGAGGTTCTGTTCTATAAATGTAATATAAATATACACAATCTGTACTTAAGTAATAAGTTCCTCGCAGAGATAAAATTAAAAATAATCATATAATTATTAACAATTTAATTGTATTCTTTGTTATTCACATGCAGAATCAACAGCTACAAAGCCAATTACAGACACAGCACAGTGTAGATAGGGTAAATTTGTCCCTGTACTTAACTAATTAAGCCCCAAGCCATGACGGCGTATGGAGAGTGGATGTATTTTTTCCTTTGGCGCTACGGCCCAAATCTGGGCCTTGGTTTACCTCCATGAAACTCTCTGTTTCACTTCGGTTTACTAGATCTTAGACATTCGGTAGGACTCCTTGGGCGGGTGATCAGTTCGTCCTAAGGCCTCTACCTGTACCCAAACACAAAAAGGCGCACATACACACAAACACCAACCATCTATGCCCTGAGTTGGATTCCAACCCACGATCCCGGCTTCCGAGCGAGTGATTAAGACAGTGCATGTCTTAGACCTCTCGGCTACCGTGAACGGCGAGTGGATGTATAGATCCGCATTTTCTTGACATCGACACTAGTTCGATGTGAGTTGTCAGTTTCAGGCATAGGTCGCTTTACTCCCAGGGAAAGAGTCTCCGGTACCCATTGGATAGGAGGTTGGGTGGACCCCAGGCCGGTCTGGCCGACTTTGGAGAAGAAAAAATTCTTGGCCCTATCGGGACTCGAACTCTGACCCCTCGATCATACAGCCCGTAGCCAGTCACTATACCGACTGCGCTATCCCGGCTCCCCAGCACAGTGTAGATGATGATGATGATCATGATGATAATGATGATAATAGGATATTATGCACGTATGTGGGACTAGAAATGAGTGCAAAGCAAAACTAGGCTTTATGTCTTCTTCTCAGAACTCACTGTTCGATCACGCAGATACATATAAGAGTACTGTTAAAATACTGCTATGAGCAATCGCAATGATTGGCCATTACTTCATTAGTGCAACTTGACATCCAAACAGCAATCACATCATTAATAAATCTGACTACCTCTGAAAACGCTAATAAAATTAAATCAAGAAATTACGAAACATAATGTAAGCAATGCCTTGAAGCATAGATCTTCAGAAGCTACTAGCTTCTCGGCTATCCAAAAGAGTTTCAACATTGTAAGGATTCCGTTTGCTCGTTTTTGTGGTCAGGATGGCCCATGTGCTGGGTCAGACGAATCCATTGGACACCCACCCATCAAGATCCATTCTCCATTTCAATATCATCTTCATATAATTATAAAATTAATAGCGAAGTGTAGTGCGTTGAAAGTCAACAGACGTTTCGGAGGAATATATCGCCTCCATCTTCAGTGTCAATAAGCCGCGCGAGAAACCAGCATGAAAGCAGGTGGCAATGTGGTATGTTTCTCCGAAATGTCTGTTGACTTTCAACGAACTACACAGCGTTGTATCCCAGAAGATAGTACTGTTCCTAACCAAGGCTGTGAGAATCTCAAATGCTACAATCACAAAATAAAGGTCATAAAAGTGTAAACATTTAAGAAAAATGTATTTAATTTTATTAGTTTTGGATGGCGTATAAGTTTCTCGTATTCTATCGCACTTGTGATCTTGCATCCTCTAATGACAATACAGAACGGGTTACATTTCGCGAGAATCATTCTTAAAGTTTAACCATAACATGGCAGCAGGGTAGCGAATATAATGTTTAAAAATGGCGTTATATTTCATATGGCTAGCCCTTTGGCTTGGATGCCAAGAGCGCTTTCCTTCATTTGCTGGATCCTTTCCTTTCTTCACACCTTCTTCTCCATCCATTTATCATTACGATATAAATCTTTATTTCATACCACTTACCGGATCCAACATTGCTGTAATTCTACCTCTTTGTTTCAAAAAATTGTCTTGGATGGTGAAGAGGCGTATCAGAATAAAACGTCCCGTCTTTATTCATAGGACAACTTCATACTCAGTTTTCACTTATAATCTTTTCAAGAACGCGTTGTCAGAACATTAATTTGTTCAGGGCTGGGCAGACTGTAACAAGACTAAGCTCCTGTATAAATGTACAGGCATTTGTAAATTGTTCGCCAAATTTTTCATACGGAAGTTAATACTGAGAAAAGGGCTTTACTTTTTCTTGTTTTGAGAACAATGCAATATTTACGAAGAGCATCAGTAGCCGGAATGTATTAATACGCCGTGTATTATCCTCTGAAGATGAATATCTTTAATCTGGAGTTTTCTATAGAAGTGACCAGCATTTACAAATTTCTTTTTTAATAGTA